GCCACCGTGGGTGATGGTGAGCGGCTTTTCACTCATTCATACTTTCGGGAAAGCATATATAAGCTGTGTAAGCCATTAAACTGTGTCTAGACACATTCAGCAGCCATTGTGAAGAGGAGATTGCAGCTTACCCCTGCAGCGGCCGCGAGGCACTGCCAGTCTGAGGCGCTTGCTGCAACCAGCCCGGCGAGAAACGGACTAGAACGGCGACGATAAGTCCGTAACAGCAAAAAAGAATTATAAAGAAACAGTTATTTACATATTTAAACAAGAAATTCAGCTGTCTAGGGAGAACCTCAACTAAGCTGGGCTTTTTCAAGTACTTGTTTTGCCGAACGAGTCCATTCGGTTTCAGTCCACTCGGGCGACCGGGATCCTGCGTAATAAACATCTAAATGGCGTTGCTTGTTTCGAGTTATTTACCCCGTATTACACACTTTATAAATAACATTTAATATCCCCACAGCAATTCGAATATATATACGGAAGCGACCCCACGAAAGCTGAACAGAAAGACCCCTACCGCTCACCCGCTCAGTCTCGAGTTGCTTCAGCTCTGGGCCATTGGCCACGCGGTGCTGTTCAAAAAGACCAGTCCATGAACTTCTTTTTTATAGTTATATTATTAAAAACGGAAATATCGCCGCTATATTATACTGGTAATTCTTTCTTGTAGCCTCCAGTGGTGCCTTTCTTCTGTCATCCTGGGGAGAGGTTGTCGGGGCTGTCAGCATTTTTTTTCGCGTTTCGTGCTTGTACAGACTGTCTTCTTAGGTTCAGAGGCTGTACTCACTCTTTAAAGAGCTTCTGAACTCGTGAAGAGCATGCGGGAACATTTTTAAACCCGAGGCTCGCCTTGAGGATGTCAATTTGCTCATCATTCTCTATAGCAGTATCCGATAGAACCGTTTTCCTTCGTCCATTCCGGGTCAGCAAGATGCACTGGGTAACCTCAGGTCTCCTTGGGGTGGCACTTTTGCAACGTGCTGAGGCAGGCTGGCACGAACACTTTGGCAGGGATATAGGATATGAAGAGCCACGGGGTGGCTTTCCAACAACGTCGGTGTACCCGGCATACACCCACGGAAGCCCATTGAAGCAGGATGAGACGATGACGTTCCAGGGGCCTGACTGGCTGGGACAGCAGGAAACTCTAATGGAGGGAAACGGAGTAACATCACTTACAGAACATTATTCTTTCCCTTCCCTTCAGCCTAGCTATGAACCCCCAAGGCACCCTGGAAGTTCTCTGCTCTCTCTGGCGACAATTTTGCGGCGGTCGAGCCCTCCTTTGCGTTCGGCTTTGCTGCGTAACTTCATTTACTCCGTGGCACGTCTCAGGACGCGTCATGTGGGTCTGGGTAGCAGCGTGAAGAAGGCCGACAGGCTGGCAAAGAAGAAGGATAAGAAGAAACAGAAGCATGGGGGGGCCGACAAGAACGATCGGAAGGGCGCTACTGAGAGGCGTATTGCAGCCTTGGCGTCCAAGTTCGCCGGTGTTATTGGGGCTGCTGAAGGCGCTACTGAGTCGGAAAAGAAGCTGGCAAAGTTTCTGTTTGTCCCATTCAGGAGGCTGGTACAGGAGACAGAGGAGCTTCTATCGGACATTGCAATGAACGGCGATGCGGAGGTGATGATCGTTGCTCTAGACCGGCTCGCTCCCCCGCTTGTACGAGGCTTGTCTTACCTAGAGGCCCCTCAGAGTGAAGGGGCAGCCGAGGTCCTGGAGCCGGCTCGGGATCTTTTGCTAGAGAGGGCCAGGGAGTTGGACACTGTTCTGCTCGAGGCACAGGCTGACCCAGAGGGAGTAATGCGTACATATACCAGGGACTTTACTGAGCATGAAATTGAAAGAGAAAAGCAGTTAGCA